CACACTAGGCACACAACTCCAGCATTCTTTCATACAAAGAATGCCCAAAACTAAGCCCTATTACAAACCCTCTATTTAAAGTCATTTACAAACTTTTCACGTTCCATCAAGTGCACACTTTAGTATTGATCAGTAAGATGCCGCCAAACTGCCTGGAATTACCTCACAAAGTAATATGTCCATGATGTGTACTCTGGTAGCATCTAGTGGAATAGCAGCACATGCTAAGGATTTGGGGCGACACCTCTTGCAGCTTTCCCCTGGCATAGGCAGCACTTAGTCCCCTCTCCATACTCCATCTCAACACCGACAGCCTCAAGAAAGACTGATGGTAAGCATAAAACTAGCTTTGGCTTACTTAATGGTGCAACAAGCTTGACTGGGGTGAAAAAATACTCTATGAATTATTTACTTAATCTTACACCCAGCAGAAATTACAATCAGATAGCAAACCCAGCAGGTCAACTCTATTTATTTCGAAAGTAATGAGCAATTCATACGTAATTCTTTTACCTTTCACTCATAGCGTCTATCAAAAATCAATACATGTACATGTAGAAATACTCAAACAATTCTACATGATATTCACCAAACTAAACCCCTACTTTATAGGAACGGTGTCTCATGAGAAATCTCCACATTTCAATGCATGCATGATATGATTTTTATCTTCATGAAAACACATTTACTACATTTTTGCTGAGTGAAGTTTTCGGTATTTTTCTGTCAACCGAAATAAAGAATTTGAGTATAAAAGTATGACCTGAGAATTGGGTGTCTGGTAAAGCAGCTAAGGCCAACCAAGTTTAATCAATATATATGAAAACTTTTCACAATATATATACATTATCTCTGGCCTTTGCTGAACAACTCTTATTATTACATACACCATGATAAATTTCACTTTTAACAAAATCATATCTCTACCACTTTTGATGTCTACAACTATTAACATTGACATATTTTATCCACCATTGAAAAACCAATTAAGTTAGAATTATATATACTGTACACATGTATTTTTTATAAGATTTATAAAATAATTTGTTTTTCTCAGATAAAAAGGATATGTTTTCACTGTGTGATAAATCCGCAAGTGCATCTCTTTAAATGATTTATGGAGATTTTTTAATTTTTTCCCTAGCATGTGTAGAAGAGTTAAGTGAAAAGGTAAGTACAGTAGCATATAAAAATATGCCAAAAATTTCTAACAAGAGCACCAGTTAAGATAATGAAAATATTCATTTTTATAATTTAAGTCCATAACAGGAAGTAATTTATAAAACATTGCATTTCATTGCTACATGTATGAAAGTCTCCAAAATGTGTTATTTATCATATACACGAGTGTTCATGTTGTGTCAAGTTTTGTTCAACTTTCATTTGCATATTGACTACATATGTTGTATACTGAGGATACCATACCCATCTTTCTGAAAGAATCAGAGGTCACATATTGGAATAAATTCCACTGAATCCCTTTCACCAAGTAATAGTGTACTTCACACTAAATCTGATGGTGTTGATCAGGTAAGAAAAATATTGGTAAACTGCATGATATATAAATACAGCAATGTTTGGGTGAAGTAGAGCACACTATTTGTACTATCCTTTTTTAGAGGGATGGCAGCATCTTTATGTCTTTCATTTGAAAAAATTTAAGGGATACCAGACCCCCACAAATTTTTATAGCAAACTTAAGTACTTAGTCACAATCCAAGCTTATTGTTTCCTGTATAACAAGCTTCATGTTAAAACTTTTATTGGAACGTGCATCAAGCAAGAGGATTTCTTAATAAGACTTTCAGGGTTGAGGTAAGCTATACAATAATAAGTCCCAATGTTACCTTTAATGTAGGTCAATATGTGATACACAGTCAAGGTTAACATATTCCTCTGGGTAACTTCCTGTACAGCTTTCACTGAAACTGTTTTGATGTTTTGAATGTGTATTTTTATAACACAGTACAGCCACTGTGTGAAAGTATTACTTATTTGAAGAGACAGATAAAAAAAAATGCAATGAAGAGGTCGGCATTAGCCACAATCATTGTTTATCTGTAGATCTACCGAAGGAAGTGTTAAAGTACTCATTGGAGATTTCAGCAGCAGTGGCAAAAACCAGGATAGACTTAATCCATTATTTATACAAATCAAGCCGAAATAGAAACGGCAAACACTTTTTAGCACTGATTGTATAGATCTAAAACTTTGGTCTATTTCCTGTTGCTGTCAGTATTTGATGAATTAAGAGATTATTCTAGAAATGTTTGACAGGATTTTTAAGCCTATAAACCGATCTGTATATGTTATAAGATGCTGTGTGAAGGTGAGATGATACATTTGCAATCATTTAAACCTATAATATCAACTCTGGAAATAGGAAACCCAAAATCAATATCACGTCTATTGAAAGTAAGAAAAGCAGGAAATATTTCACAGATAACAGTTCCTTGATAGCTGATTATTTTCAAACAGTGAGTATAAAGGATAATTACATAATGCAAATTTTAGATTAAAAAAATGTTTGTTTACAATATATCCTCATTCTATTAGCTATATCAACTGATTTCATTCTAACAAAAAAAGACAAAATTTATATACTGCTGGATACTGCAATAAATACAATCTGACTACTGTTGAGGACCATAGTTATACATTTTTTAATACTTTAATGTCTCTTTCATTAAGTTATTTCTAGTACTTTTCATCTACAGGAAAAACTGCCTAAAATTAAGAATCTTCTAAACACAAAGCTAATTGATATCTGAATACAAAGCATAGAATTAATTAACTAAGACAAGCATAAGAGTTGAATGAAATTAAGCAGTTGTGTATCAGAGTGATCTGTTGTAGAATCAACTATATTAAAGTAATTAACATAGACAGGATCAAAATGTATCTTTTAGGTAGACATAAATTTCAGTTGAAATCAAATTCTTTATTCATGGGTTATGCCACTTCCTTTAAATCAATTTTAAATTCATTGACAGTAATGTTGACAAATTATATTTGAAAGCCAGTTACTATATCTGTTATAAGTCAGGCGATGTTAGAATACTATCATGATGACAAGAATTCTTGGTACAACTTTGAACAAATTTGATATAACACAAAAAAGTTCTCACTCAGAGAACAATTTTGAAGGGCATACAAATGAAAAACACTAACATAAGTGTGCAAGGCATGTGTACCATCTGGTGGTAAAAACTCATGGTACTGAGTTATACATGTATTCCAATCCAAGATGATAATTTCTAATATCTAGACTACTGCATTCATGTTTTCCAACCTTGGTGATAATTTCGAGTATCCAAACAACTGCATTCATGTATTCCAAACTTGGCAGTCATTTCGATAATGCAGACCACTGCATTTATGTATTGCAATCACGGTGACAATTTTGAGTATTCAGACTGCATTCATGTATTCCAATCTTCATGATTATTTCATGTATCTAGACCACTGCATTTAACTTGATAATTTGTAGAATTTGCAAAACTGTAGCATATTGTTGAACATGGATGCCATATCCCAATTTCTTAGGATAGAAATGTATAATGCATGGAATTTTTTATCTAAAAAACAATGAACTTTTAAAGGCATGATGTACCTGTATGACGACATCATATAATATGAACTCCAATTTAGTACTTCAGGAGTAAAAGTCATGTATTTGAACCTGATGAAGCCTCCCATCAGAGGCTAAACTAGTCTGCCAATATAACCCACTCACTTGTGATGCATGGTGTGTGTGTTGTGATTGAAACTTCTTTGGATTTATTTTGATATTTCATTTCATCTCCTCCATATTTTTTGGTATCTATACCAAATGCACAGCCCCCATCTTATCAACCAACTAACTTGGAACAGACTTTGGTTCTACTTTCTTTTTTGTATGGAAAGTGAAGCAATCTATCAACTAGTTGGTGAAGACTAAACCTAGTAAAAGATTGTACGTGTCCTTCTTAAGTCTGTGTATTAGTAATTATCACAAACTTAAAGAGGAAATGTATTTAATATGAGAAACTGCCTTTTTATAAGAAAAAAAATATATGTGATATAATACTACAAGAGAGAAAATAATTGGGATTGACTGAATCGTAATGCATTCTTACACAGAAAGCATTAAATATGAAGTTCTGAGATTAAATCATTACTATCTGTTCACCTCACACACAATCATAAGTTCTAACATCAGGTTAAAATGACATCAGACCCTGTAAAATAACTTATCAACAACTGACACTGTTGGTGTAGTTAAAAGTCAAAACCGATTTCCGACAATAGCGACTAAACAGAGTTAAAAATTTTAGTTTAAACATAAATAGATTCAAACAATTCACACAAGCACACTACTGTACAAAATGAAATTGTTTAAGTATTTTACAGTAAGATAGCATCTATCTTTATCATGAATTTGAACTAATATCAATAAAGAGCAACACTGTTAGAAGTTCTTTACAAATAACACCATCTCAATGCACAGGTTGCTAACTACATACTATACTGAAGTAAATTAGATCTCTGCTCCTAACAGCCTACCTTGTATATTACATTTGCAGTAAAGATAAAAGCAAATATCCTATTCCAATTTCCTGCTTTTTCTTATCTTCTCACGTCTTGTACAACAAAATTTGGAAAACTGTACAAGTCAGTAAGGGTTGTTCCCCTTTGTTTACTTGATTTTCATCTGTCACTTCATCATCAGTCTCTTGGAGTGTGGCCCGTTACGACGACGCGATATTATCATCGACACACTTACCGATACGAGAGATGTTTGGTATTATACACATTTTAAAACATTTTGTAGATAAAGGTATACCCTTTATTTAAATGGTCCCACCTTACAATTACCAATACAGTAGTGATAAAAGATAACGTCACTGCCAGAAGTGAAGGCTCACAGTACCGAACAGTACAATGTACTGTAGATGAGATTGTTTATTAGATTAGACAAACCACCTGTAAAACTGACAGAGAGATTCATAAGAACTTACCTTCACTTTCTTGTCATCTTCGGTTGGAACACTGCTGTATTGTCCATTTGTCTCTGCGTAAACTGTTACGGAAGGTGTAGATCTCGCAAAGTTTTCCACTTCATCAACCTCTAGAGTAGTAGACGCCATTCAATCCGCCTGATGACTGTCAATGGGTACTGAAGAGTTCCGTTACTTTTGGCACCTGATGTTTCGCGGGGTTTTTAGGTTGCTGAAGTAGAGCAGGGTGACTTTGTTACTTCGTGTTTGTAGTATGTGATAGAAGCTCATACATCATGTCTCAATTTTCACAGTTAAGTTACTTCACAATTTTCCCAAAGCAAAAATGAATGTTTCTCATTTCTGATATATTGCAAAAGAAATGTGGCTTACATATAAAACTCCTCAGTTTACATGTACTAATTAAGTCGTCCTATTAAATACGTGAGTCTGTCCACTTTTATCCAAATGTTTCTACCGTTTCTTTGAAATTCTGGATGTGAACTGCGGGGTATGCTACTTAGACATATTCAAATTCAGTCTAAATATATCTAGTGAATGATTTTGAATATGAACTTGTTCACAAAATATTCATTCTTATCAATAGTAATCAGACAACCCACAGATGACCTCGCCAAAGATTAATTAATGCGCAGTACATGTGTATATATGTTTCAGTGTTTATTTTCACCATTTTATACTCTATAATAACATTTATACAACTAGTTCTACTATACTAATACGAAGATTTGTGTGAACCGAGGAGGATTGTGTTGTATTACCATTGTCAATACAGTTTGTAATTTTTCAACGGAGGGGACACGAACAACTAGGTAAGGGAACATAATCTAGTTATGGAGTGGACACACTTGAGCACTAATAGTTAAACTAGGATACGGACGGAAACACTTACTCTCCCCCCCCTCTCTCTCTCTCTCTCTCTCTCTCTCTCTCTCTTAACACCGTTCATTATAGATATTATGTAGGTAGATCAAGTATTGGAAGGGTAACTTCTGAAAGCCCATTAGTTCTATTTCATCCTTCCAGCATGATAACGTTTTTACATGATGACTTGTAGCTACCACTGTGGTTTTGTCCTGTCTTTTTTTTTTATTGTAATGTAATAGCAAGATATCAAACTAAAAGTTCTGTTTTCTATTCCCACGCCGTTAAGCCAACATTCTACATTATATTGTTGTCACAAAGAGCACGTACTCAAGGACACGCTCTAGAGTAACGCCATCGAATCGGTCAGAAAACCGCTTACACAGTGGGTTTCGTCGAGCAAAGAATTTGAGACTGTCCTCATCGGCCGGTATTGAAGTTGGCGAAGATGTACAAAACTGATGTGACGGTTAATTGTTTCTTTTCAATGTTTTATACTGTTAATACAGTAAGGTTGTCTGTTACTAACAATCCATAAAATGAACAAATAAGAGTGTAAATACATTAAAGTCACGTATAAATGGGATATTTGGTAAGAAAAGTGCCATTGGAATGCATTTTCGGAACTCGCTGATTAGTAATACTTCTGTTACGAGCCACGGATTTCAGAAAACTGCATAAAACCCCACAAAGAATAAAAGACTTTGGTCAACATATCAGTTCCTATCATACAGTGTGTTTCATCTCTGCCATCTTGATAAGCTCCCCTTATATGCATATATGCATTTTTGTCTACAATTAGAATATTTGAATATCGTTCAAATATTTATTTCATGAAAATTGAAAATATAAAAAAGGGAGAAAAAAAAATAATAAAATAAAAATCTCGGTATTTATCACACGATGTGCTTCGTCCCCTCTGACCAGGTACATTTATGAATAAATATCCTTTAAAATGATTTTTCATTGTCAATCTTTAAATATCGTCCTTACGTTTATTTCATGAAAATGAAGTCCTACAAACAAAACGTATAACAGTAATTAAGTGACTGATTTTGAATTGTGAAGCTTTTGGTCGCTTCCCATTTCTTAGAAATATTGCAACGAGTCTTTGTGTGAACATCTACAGTACAGAAAGCAAGATGATAATCTGCGGCCATATCGAATTTTCAGTCGAGTACAAAATGGACCTTTCACAAAACGTAAATGTGTTAGTGATACTTCTAAGGCTTGTTTCAATGTTATTTGAATTCCATATTAATTTTCAAAAAAAAAAAAAAAAAAGCCAAAAAAATACATATTTATGACCGGCTTCAATTTCTGATTCAGGTCGAAATCGAGCTTAAGCGACGAATTCATACTCAAATTCAACTCCAGCCTTACAGTTTAACTCTTCATGTGTTTTAGATTTAGATGGACGCTTGGCGTCAATATTGAACTCTGATTTTGTTCAGTCGGCCTGTTGTTTGTAGAAAGTTTAGTCAATATTTTTAAGTGTCATACATGACGACGACACTGACGCCAACGGATCATCCATTATATGTCCATGATATTGATGACCTTGAAGGTCAGATAAGAAATACTATATCATATATATACCACTCACTTCGTTTGTTTATTTGTATACTCACTACAACTTTTATCATTAATACAAAGTAAACAGTGATCACTGTTTTTGTGGTTATATCGAGATCAGTCACGTATCCACAAATTATCAGGGTATAATAAAACAAACCATGGGTACATAACGATTTTTTTTCCTATGTATTAGTCGCTTCATTTACTACAATGTACATATATTTGAAAAATACATATATAGCAGTCAACAACAAGAAACTGTTTGTGACTAGCATCTGTGGAACGAAACTATTGTCTCATTCAAATCAATTCTCAATGGCTACAATTATATTTTAGACATACGATCAAGTATTTTATTTCTGTATGGGAGCCTTCATGTTTGTACCAATAAGAGAATATGTCCTCAAGTATCTTCCTTGCAACCTCCCAACACGAAAAGGAATTTTAATTATGTTTTTGCCTTCAATATTACACAGTTGTTATCTGTCGCTAAGGACAATATATTTTTCAAAACCCGATATTGTAATTATTAGCCATGGCAAAGCTAAGTAACAAGGTCAAGGACAAATTCTAATGCTACATAGGAAAAAACCCAAATGTGTTAAGCGCATGCTATTATAACAATACACAGTTTCGATGGGAAACTGAACTAGATCAGAGATCAGCAGATATTATATACACTTTTTAAATGGCACAATCACTGTCACAAGAGTGTAACAACTAAGTTTCAATGTCGTGACGATGAATTCAAACAAGTTTCAAAAAGATCGGTAGGAGACTGAGGGAGGGTTTCCGAATAAAATGATGAACAAAATAGGCCATCCAAGGCGATACAAGTTTCAGAGAAAATCAACTTCAAATGTGCAAGGAAAAATTATTTGTTAAGTATCGCCGTCACTTTACCAACTACGCCATTGACGAACGTTTACAATAATGTCAATGCAGGGTAAAAGTTGTTATAGCTAGTTGCTGTATTTTAGCTTCAGTTTTAACAAGAACTGGACAATATTCAGAAGTGGAATGAGGTTTGGCTGATATCTTTCAACCGAGACAAGTGTGAAATCATCCAAAGCTTTCAGCGACTCATATAAGATCCATGATGAAAACGGCAAATAAGAAATAAATCATAGTCAGCCATCCAAAGACCAAAAAGGAAAAGACTCTGGAAAAGACACACAATGTTGCTGTAGAGGCGAAGGACAGCAAGGTGCATTATGGTAGATTACCGCAGGCAAAGCAGCCTTACAGAAACCGTCAAAATAAGGGCGTCGCAAAGTTACCATGTGAAGCGTCTTGTCAGTGGGTTGATTGGCTACCCACCAACAACCCATCTACAGCCAACCTATGCTGTTTTATCCGTCTTAAAAGAATACCCCCCCCCCCCCCCCCCCCCCCCCCCCCCCCCCGCGGCCACTCGACAATTTTTTTAGCCGAAACTGGACAATGATATGCCTTATTTTGAAACATACACAATCATTAAAGAAGAAACTGCCGGAAACGTCTTGCCTTTTATTAAATAGTGATATTACATACTTAATGTTAAATATACACTGATTTATTCTTCTTTCAACTAAAGTCTTTTCAATATTAACAAATAGGTCTGTAAATATGAAACATTCTCGAAATCTATACCAACAGATTTAAACTTAGCCAGCTTCATTCTGCTTTGATACAATTTAATGAAAGCAGACACCAATTTTTTAGATTATTTTGCCAGAACTATTGGAATATTCTAAGATCTATTTAATGAATTAGTACTTGCTTTAAAATATCTTCAATCTAATTTATAGTTTATTTATGTATGTTAAAGTAACAGCACTGGAAAAACAAAAGTTGAATATTTTGATCTTAAAAAGTATTTAACAGATCTTATTGTTACTCTGAATAGGCATCCTTTTATACATAATGGAGCTGCCAGAGATTCTACAGCTGTTACATATTAGACACAATGCTGTAAGTTTTAAAAATGTACAAAATGATAGAATAAATCCCCAGGAACTTGTAGCAGAAACATTTATTTATAATCCTCAGTGGCGTTTTAAAAGTCAATAATAGGTAGACACTTATATTAGGTGGCATATTGTGACTTTTTACTTTACAAGTGAAAAATTTGTCAAATGGGACTTCCGATTATGACACGAGAGTCAAACATGTGATATACTGTGCTGTAGTATTATATTTGATAAGATATATGACCCTATCAGGTAAGGTAAGCAAGTCGGTGTTTGTTTTAAGTGTGTTGTCTACACGACAAAAATCAATGACGTTACACGTATTAGTCAGTGTCTGTGGTGACTGATAAGGCTAATTTCAAGTTTCTTGTCCTTTCGCTTTGTCGCCTTATTGTTAAAACAAACGGTTTGTTGATTTGAATCTTCGTCATTTATACTTGTTAAAAAGAGGATGAAGAAAAATGCTAATAAAAAGTTTTAGAATTTTTTTTGTCGTCTTGAAAAAGGAACATTTGTTGATATTAATGAAAAGGTTACTGGTTAACTGTTACAAAATCCCTAATGTTCACAGTGTTTGGTTAGTTGTCGTGAAAAAGGATGGAGATTAATGAAAATGTGACAGGTTAATTGTTATAGTTAATTTTCTCCATTAGAGATATTAAAACAATTATACACTAAATTATTGAAACAAGCGAATTATAAAGCAAGCACATTAGACATCACATTTCTCGATTT